CATATTCCACCCCCTCTCACCCACCATGACCACCACCACCTACCACCTCAATCCATCACTTTTTAAAACAGAGATCTCCAAGGGTTCTGGGTTTTTGTAGTTACCCCATTTAGGATCTTGGGCTTAGGCTCAAGGCCTCTTTTTCTGTTCCTATGTGCCAGTTACAATAAAATTCAAGCCAATTGGATAAGTGCCACTCTGTTCCCCAAAAATAGCTGATTATAATATGTAACATTTATTGAACATTTAACGAATGTCAGGTACTGTGCTAATATTTTACATATTATTTTATTTAACTTTCATTGAACCTCTATTATTTCCCCCTTCTTATAAGATGAGGATACAGAATGAAATGCACATCTAGTGTTCAAAACGTGACAGGGTATTTCAGTTCTGCTAAGCTTATCAACTTGCGTAAGCTTATCTAGCAAGTAGTAGCAGAACTGAAATCTGAACCCAGCTGTCTGAATTTAGAGTGTACTGTTAATCATGATACACTTCTTAGTGCCCAAGTTGGTGCTAGATGCGTAGTCACGTCTGCTGAATAAACACTTTCTTCAGCGCGTAAGTTTGTTATGAGGAAACGCTGAGAACACTGAAGTATTTGGCAGGTTTTTATTTTTTTTGGCAGTTTTTGGCCGAGGCTGGGCTTGAACCTGCCACATCCGGTGTATGAGAGGCTCATGTCCTACTCCTTTGAGCCACAGGCGCTGCCCTGTATTTGGCAGTTTTTAAGAATAGAAATAATGGGCTCGGCGCCTATAGCCTACAGTAAGAGGCTAAGGCACCAGCCATATACACCAAAGCTGGCAGGTTCGAATCTAGCCCAGGCCTGCCAAACAACAACGACAACTGTAACCAAAAAAATAGGTGGGCGTTGTGGCAGGTGCCTGTAGTCCCAGCTACTTGGGAGGTTGAGGCAAGAGAATCGCTTAAGCCCAAGAGTTGGACGTTGCTGTGAGCTGTGATGCCATAGCACTCTAACCAGGGTGACAGCTTGAGGATCTGTCTCAATAAAAAACATATATAGAGAGAAATAATGTTGGATCCCAATTCCAGTCATGTTTTGCATCTGAATTACAATATTAAAACATATATCTTATTGTGAAATTGTAGATTTTCTAATGATAGCAAGATTCATGACATTAAGAGTTCGATAATTGTTACATTTGTTATCAGCGGTGAAACAGAATCCTCCTTGGCCAGATGTGGTGGCTCACATCTGTGATCTCAGAACTCTGGGAGGCTGAGGTGGGTGGATCGTCTGAGCTCAGGAGTTTGGCACCAGCCTGAGCAAGAGCAAGACCTCCATCTCTACTAAAAATAGAAAAACTAGCCAGGTATTGTGGCGGGTGCCTATTGTCCCAGCTACTCAGGAGGCTGAGGCAAGAGGATCCCTTGAGCCTAAGAGTGTGAGGTTGCTGTGAGCTAACGTGGTGTTCAACTCAACCCCAGGGTGACAGAGTGAGACTCTGTCTCATTAAAAAAAAAAAAAATCCTCTTTGAGAAGAACTTATAATCTAGCAGAGAGCACACATGTGGTAAGCAGTAAGACAGAATGAATAAATACTTAACAGAAAGAGGAAAGAGGAAAAGCTGACCAGCGATCTGCAAAGCCACAGGATGAGAAATGCACATTTTCTGGTAACATCAATTCACTCCAAAAATTGGGGGATGGGAGAAGGCAGCAGGTACTAATTTTTTTTTTATTATTATTATTTTTGGCTGGGGCTAGGTTTGAACTCCCCACCTCCGCCATATGGGGCCAGCACGCCCTACTCCTTTGAGCCACAGGTGCTGCCCTCCAGCAGACACTAATTTTTATGTGAAAATAAACATATCATAAAGCAGAATATAAAAATACAAAAATTCAAAAAAACTTTAAGTTCACATAAATAACTTGATGGAAATGTTTGTGTTTTAAGTCTATCATGAAGAGTGATCATAACAGCACAGCATGAGAATAACAGGAAACCTTTATATAGTGGCTTTCTTGATGCTGGGTATATAGCAAGTCCTTTATCCTCACAGCAATCCTGTTAGGTACAGTCAACTCCCTGTTATCCACAACTAAAGCAGCTGGCCCCCCAACAAGAGTTTAAAGTTGATGCACCACCCCTACATTTGCACATCATTCCCTCAGGACCCACGTGGTCTCTGTAACAGTTTTAAGTGTTAATGTATGCTACTTGACATTTAAAATACATGACAGTGAAGTTGAAAAGTGTATGACAGCCATTTAAATAAAATTGTATCCTGCATTCACAAAGCTATGTTATAATACAGTAAAACTGTGTTTCAGTAAGTAAAGTTTGTCTGTATTTGTCTTAATTTGCTTTGAATTAGTGTATTTCAATATTAACATCAAGTTAACACAGAGTTTATGGCATGGCGTGGTATAGTAGGGAATATAGAATCAGGCCTATTTTTAACAGTAAACAGAAATAGCAATTTCTCAAGCAACTGGAAATTGCATTTATCTGGAATCTACTAATTGCCATGGATAAGAGGGAGATTACTGTAATTATTATCAGCACCACTGCCTTATAAGTAAGCAAACTGAGGCACTACTAGGTTAAATAACTCACCCACCATCAAACAATTCTCAGAATTAGGCCTCAAACGTAGGCAGACTGGCTTAAGTCTGTGATAGGACAGACTCTACAAACGGGTTAAGTATTGAAGAGCTTGTATAAGTTAGAGGAAGGAGGAGAAGAACTGTGACAATATTATTCATATTTAGACTTAGAGGAGTTCAATTATAACTTGAGAAATCTACACGAAAACCTTTTCAGAGACCTTTTTTAATAAGCATTGTAATTTGGGGGGGTATCCAGGGGACACTGGCTCAAATTTGCTTATTAGAGTTTTTCTCAAGTTATTTTATGCACGTATATTTTTTCCCATTCCCAGTTTAAGCACTTGAAGCAAGAGACTGTGTCTGCTACTTTTTTTTTTTGCAGTTTTTGGCCAAGGCTGGGTTTGAACCCGCCACCTCCGGCATATGGGGCCGGCGCCCTACTCCTTTGAGCCACAGGCACTGCCTTGTGTCTGTTACTTCTTTACAGCCCTTAGGACAACACAGCCCCAGGCACATAAAGGGCACTTAATTAATGCTCGTTCAATTGCCCAACAATATTAAGTCCCTCTTTTACTACCTCTCACCTAAAGCAACAGATTTAGAAGAAATGGTTGTGTCAATTAGGATGATGTTTAAAATTTACTTAATAAAACCCACAAATATTATCTGGTAGGAAACAGAAATAGAGGAGAAACCAGAAAACAGCAAGTTATATTTGTCAGCAAAAGATTAAATATGATTAGGACAAGTCGGCAAATTCAAAAAAAGCAGCATGAATTAGTAAAAAAAAAAGGACTAATGAATCAAACTGATGGGCTCACTCTACTTTCTGACAGAGCAATGTAGGACAATTGTGAGTCTGTAATTGCAAATCAATCGCAAACTAAGAGACAAAAATATTTAAAGATATGTCAAAGAACTATTTAAATGCTTTCCTAAAATGGAGATGAGACGAATAGTATTAGGTCAGGGTCAAAATTATTTGATCCTAGCCTTTCCATTTTTGTTTCTTCAATTGCATTTTTACTTGAAAGGTTCACCATCTTAAGCTCTTGACTGGGTTTCTGCATTACAGAAAAATGTGAAAGATATAATTTGATACCCAGGCTAGAGTGCACTAGCATCATCAAAGCTCATTGCAACCTCCAACTCCTGGATTTAAGCAATCTTCCCACCTAGCCCTCTGTGTAGCTGGGACTACAGATATGCACCACCACACCAGCTAATTTGTTCATTTTTGTACAGATAGGGTTTCGCTATTGCTTAGGCTGGTCTTGAACTCCTGGCTTCAAGCAATGTTCCCACTTTGGCCTCCCAAAATGCTAGTAGTCCTAGCCAACAGAATATATTTTGATAGGGTTTGAGAGAAGAAAATGTTCCAGATTTGGCAGTTTATTCTAGGTTGGAAATCCTTAGAAAAGGACAGACCAATACAGGAAAAAAATTGTACCAGAGAAGGATACCTTCTAGTATCAGTGTCCTCAAAGTTTCCTTGCTCTTAGTTTCTTCTTGGCCAATCCATGAGACATCATCAGTAAGACGAAAGAGATCAATGGATTCTGACCGCTAAATTAAAGTTGCAGTTCAACTGCCAACAGAAAAAACATGAATTTCTTAGTAGCCATTCTTTTCCCTAGTAAAAATTCATTTACCCTTTTTCACTTTGGACCATTATTACTTTTTCCCACCCAAGAGAAAGGGTCTCACTCTGTTGCCCATACTGGAACGCAGTGGCACAGTGACAGCTCACTGCAGCCTGGAACTCTGGAGCTCACGCGATCCTGCCACCTCTATCTCCCAAGTAACTGGGACTAGAGGTGTGCACCACCACAATAACAAGTTTTTTTCTCTTTTGTAGAGATGGGGTCTCACTATGTTGCCCAGGCTGGACTGGAACGCCTGGTGTCAAGTGATCCTCCTGCCTGAAGTCTCTCAAAGTGCCCGGGATTACAGATGTGAGACACTGTACCTAGCCTACTATAATAGCGAAGAAAAGAAGAAAAGAGGTAAAGAATAAGACTTGTATTCCTACCCTCTCTCTTCACGTTTATAATAAAATATGACCTATTCTGATTTATCAGAATAAACTAAAGAGGAGAGGAAAAGCAGAATAAGCTATAGAGCTGTTTGGGGTATTATCTTTACAATTATACTTAAGAGTTAGAGGAAAATGGAAACTTTCCACCAAAGGCTAAGCAGGGTACATGGCTTCATACAAAGTATTAAGAAATACCACGGTTTTATACAGACTATTAAGAAATACCATGTTTTTATACAAAGTATGAAGAAATACTTTGAATGAAACATGGAAAGGACAGGAACAGTGGCTCACGCCTGCTAATCCTAGAACTATGAGAGGCCGAGGCAGGTGGATCACTTGAGCTCAGGAGTTCAAGACCAGCCTGAGCAAGAGTAAGATCCTATGTCTACTAAAAATAGAAAAAAACTAGCCAGGCATTGTGGCAAGCGCCTGTAGTTCCAGCTACTCGGGAAGCTGAGGCAAGAGGATAACCTGAGCCCAAGAGTTTGAGGTTGCTGTGAGCTGTGACGCCAAGGCACTCTACCATGGGAACAGAATGAGACTGTGTCTCAGAAAAAAAAAAAGTACACGCGAGCTTTGGTTATAAAGCATACATTCTTAGAATGTGTTTCCTCAGCCTAGATAAGTGTCCTAGAGCAGAATTTTTGCTAAGTTTTTTTGCCATAGAACAATACTCTTTGAAGCTTCCAGGAAGGCTAGCCACAGACACGAAGGTCAAAGTCTTGTTGGCATTCTCTTGGCAATCCTTAGGTTTTCCCAGGTACACAGCTGAGAAAGGAAGAATAAAAAGGAGGGAGGAATCAAAACATATGAAGCTATAACCAACCAAGAGGCCATATGATAGAATAACTAACCTCTTGAATTAAATATTCTTTTCCTTTAAGTTATTTTGAAACAGACCTTTCCCTGGCTAGTGAAAAGATAAGCTTTGGTGGCTATCCCAACTTATCAGATGAATTTTAAAACAAAAGTTCATATGCAATACTAATAAGACAAACTATCTTTTCCTAGTCACAAAACATTCATTAAATGATTAAAATAGGAAAGACACACAACATTACTTCTAATTTTGGCTCTTTAAAATGCTTACCCAATGCTACAGGTACAACCCTAATTGGTTGGCAGGACAATGAACTTCACAACAATATTTTTTAAACAGGTGGAGCAAAAAGGAATCCAGAATTGTATTTTGACAGACACACATTATCTTTCCTTTCCACTTTGCTAATGAGGATGAAAAATGGGAAGTCATAAGCACTGGCAGGGTGGAGTGGGATAATGGCAAAAAAGTTTCCATCATCCAGTATGTTAAAGTTAGAGTATGTAAAGTTAGAGTAGAATCTCAAAACTAGGACAAAACCAATCTAAGAAATCTCAAGTTAATATAAGACCAGAATTATGTGAATTTCTTTAAATAATATTACAAATGAATAATTACAAATATTTGAAAAACAAAAACTATCCCCTGGTTAAAAGGAAATATAATTTTCCCCATGGGAATGATTCCTAAATAAAGGAAAGGCTGTATTCACGTGAATCTTGAAGGCCCCAAACTGGAGAAAATGAGATATAACAGTATAATGAAATACATATATATGTATACATATAGTTAGAATTTCTCAATGAGCATATAATCCTTTTGGAGGCCATTTAAACCTCATTAGGGCTTTTTTAAAAATTGAAAACTGCCAAATTGTCAATTACTCGTCCTCAAATACCTACAGTAAATTTGCTAAGACTAATTTGTTAGAACCAAACAATGTATTTTCTTTATTATCCAGCTAAAATGGTGCCAACACACAGCCGTCTAGTTTTAAACACAAGAGAAAACACTATTATTTTCCTACAGAAAGTGCACGTCTCTCTCATGAAACAAGCAACACCCAATAACTATCCCTCTTGCACACATGTCTTTGATTATCTACTATTCCACACAGTGACCATACCATGCCAGGTTTATAACAATTAGATTTTATATTCAGAGTTTGTTTACTGCTTGGATAATTTATAATTTCTTTATACCATAAATTTTGGGAAGAGGGCAGGTCTCCTGTATTGAATTACACTGGATATTAATTAGGTCACACAGGCTAATTTTGACATTAAACATAGATATAAAACACTATAGCTAACGTAGAATTTAGTGAAGTTTATTAGAGCATAGGGGTCATGGGTAGGAACAATGATCCCCACTGCGGTGAGCTGCCTTCAGGGTTATCTTTTAGTTATATCAGCTCTGAACCAGAGATAGAACCCCATGCAATCACTGTCTCTGTTGCAAAAACAAGTTATAATACATACCTAGACAATATGTCAGTAACTTTACCAAAAATTGCCATATTTCCTTTAAAATTCTCCCTAGAGCGCACCACACAAGTTACCTCTTCTGTTCTACTCAGGTACCCAGTGTTCTAGAGCCATAAAACATACCCGCTTCCTTTCTAAACTTTGCTAAAAGATTTTACCTGTCTTGATAAAGAACACCATGATATAAATAAGCACATTTACAAAATTATGAACCATACCTGAAACTGAGAAAACTCTACAACCGCAGGTACTCTACCTGTATACAGTAAGGCTCAATCTTCTTGTAGGTCAAGTTCTTTCTACTTAATGCCCAAAGATTTAGTAGACAAAGACTCACACAATGCCTTGACACACTGTTGACGTGCAGATGTAAATAACCATAATATGACACCCCAGGAAATGACTGAGCATTCCATTCATCTTAGGTCCCTCACTAAACAAGCATGGGGCACAATGTTAACACAGTCAACATGAAGAGGAAGAGACCTCTTTGAACTCATTTCCTGCATAGGAACTCCTCAGTTTGAATGTCACAGCATTACAGAAACAGGCTTTTTAAATTTGCCCCATAGAATCAGACTCTCAAGGCTTCTGACAATCCTATAGCTATGTGGTAGCCATTAGGTATACGGGACTACTGAGCACTTGAAAGGCGACTAATCCAAATTGAGATGTGCTATAAGTATAAAATACCAGATTTTATGGATTTTGTATAGGATAAAGTTAAACATTTCATTATTAACTTTTAAAATTAAATTCACGTTGGAGATGATATACATAGGAGTAAATAAAATATATTATTAAAATTATTTTACCTGTCTCTTGTTACTTTGTTAATGTAACTACCAGGAAATTTTGAATTACTTAAATGGCTTGCACCCTGTTTCTACTGAACCGTGTTGCTATAGGCATACAGCCTTAATTCTGACACCAAACAGTAATTATCACTTGCTATTTCATAATTAAAGTTGTCATTTAAAAGCCAAAATAAAAAGCAGCATTTTCCCCTCCACCAACTTAACTGAGATAACTTAATAAGAAAAATAACTTTGAAATATTGTAAAAAGTATTGGTAGAATCGCTTCATTCTGGCATCACTTTAGAGAAAGATTACTTCAAAAAGGCAAAAACAACACAGGATACAAAAAACACAACTGTTAAGAAAGTAAGATTGTTAAGTAAGACTGTTAAGACAGCCCCATATACCGAGGGTGGCGGGTTCGAACCTGACCCTGGCCAAACTGCAACAAAAAATAGTTGAGTGTTGTGGTGGGCGCCTGTAGTCCCAGCCACTGGGGAGGCTGAGGCAAGAGAATCACCTAAGCCCAAGAGCTGGAGAGCTGTGATGCCACAGCACTCTACTGAAGGCAACAAAGTGAGACTCTCTGTCTCAAAAAAAAAAAAAAAAAAAGAAAGAAATACTGCGCACTAACCAAGTTTTCCTAATAAAGTTTAAATGTTGATGATAAGGTTTATCTTAAAAGTGAAATGGATATTTTTTCATTTCTAGCACCTGGGACTTCAGAAAAATAAGATGTCTAAGATTCTAGTATTCAAACACCTTCAACCACAAACAAGTGAACCAAAAACAGTATAAAAAGGAGAATGATTATAAACTAATTCTCTTTCCCAAAACCATAAGAAAATAACACCATTCAACACCATTCAAAACCAAATAAAAAACTCTATCAGTTTCTCCAGGACAGAGTAGACCAACTTCGGTCCAGACATTATTAAATTAGAAAATATTTAAAATAAGTATTTCTTTTACCCACCATTTTTAAATTTTAAAATAAGTATTTATAATTTTTTTTAACCACAGTTTCTTTTTAAAAGTATATTTCAAAAGTGAGAAACAACACATTTCTATGGGTGAACCATGTCCTTCCTATACCGTGAGACACCATTCTACTTTATTTGATTTTGAAGTATTTAGGCCTCTAGGGCTTTGGGGGAGAAAATCTAGTGTATTTCTGAATAGAATATACGAAAATGTTTTTTAAGGGGAGAGGGAGATACTCTTCAGTAAATGATGAGGGGGCTTTTTCAGGTGTTCAGAGGATGCAAAAGTCACTTCTAGAAAATTATCAAGAGGAAACTGTATTTTAGTAAGGATTGAGGACATTAAGAGCAATGAGTGAGTGCCCGGGGCTTCTACAACAGCTGAGTAGATACCTTCTATGGTGTCCTAAGACATTTACAATCCAAAAAAGGCCATGCCTGTCTGTCAGTTCTTTATCTGTCTGAGCTTCATCAGCGGAGTATAATCTTTAGACTACGGCCAGGTGATACATTCGTCAGACACCTTTTCCTTGTGCACCTAAATGCCAAGCTCAATTACGCTCCCAGTAGAGTAAGCAGAAAGGATTGTACATATTTTTTAAAACAGGGAGTTGATTGGCTGCAGTTTCCTGCCTTGGTAGAAGGATAATGGGTAAAGCTCTTTCTCAGTATGATCCTCAAACACTGAAATCACTCTCCAAGAATCGGGTCTTCTATCATCGTCCAGTAGATAAAAAGACTGCCAAAATTTCCATTACTGCAGCCTATTTTTAGTCTTCGGAATTGCTTTTAAATCGCCTTCCACAGTACAACGTGTTTGACTAAGTTGATACAGGCGATAAAATAAACATCCAGAGATCTTAATCTGTCTATGTTTACGAAAGCATTTTAAGCTTCTAAACCTTAATTTTAAGTCTTTCAAACACAAATGAAAAATGAAAAATCAAGGTAAACATTGGCCAGGAAGGAGCAACCAAAGGGACACACCAGGTGTTTCTTGATACCCAAAGAGGTAATGGTAGAGGGGGACCAGGTACGGGGGAGAAATGAAAACCACCCACAAGGTGGAGAGACCGAGCTGCCGGCAACAGGACAGAAAGGAACAGAGACACAGGGGAAGCCGCAGGCTCCTGAGAAGCTGGGTTAGGAACGACTTCTGGGGCCAGTGCCCCAGGGAGCCAGAAAAAAATTGGCGCGATGCGCAGGGATAAGAGACCCACAGGGGCTGCAGAAAAGAGGAAAACAGGCGAGCAGAGAGGGGGCGGAGGTGAGGGAACCCGACTACACCTAACCGAGGGCAGAGGCGGCGCTGTAGGAGGACAGCGCAGGGGGAGGAGCGAGGGGCTCCCGGAGGCTTTCCATCCCCGCCGCGAGCCGGCGGGTCCCCTGCACCCCGCTCTTCCTCTCCTCACCTGGGAATCGGAGGCGATAGGACGGCTACCGCCGAGCGCCAGGTCTGTTTCCAGCCCCGCTGTCTGACATGGCGGCCGACGCGCTGTCACAGAGCTTGCACGGGTCTCCCGCGGCTCCGGTGGAGGAGACACCTCTTGCCTTTCCGCCCCGCCTCCCTCTGCGCACCCCTCGCGGCCGGCCAGCTGGCGGCAGGCGGCCCGCGACCGCGGAGCATAGAGCGCGAGCGGCTAGAGAGGCAGCGCCGAGAGCGGACGACCATAGAGTACGCGAGCGGACACCACCCGGGCTGATTAGTCCACTCGCAGGCCGTGGGCGCTGAGCCGGGACGGAAGCGGAAGTGAAACAGAAGAGCCAGAAGGATGGTTGTTCGCATGCGCAGTGTACTGTTGACTTCCGTCTTGCCTGGTGCAGCCTCCGGAAAATGCTGCACGTGGAACACTCTACTTGGAGTGGACCGAAGTAATGAACCTGGGTGATCCTTGGGGTCGACTGTAGAGGCGAGGACATGTGGGTTCCAGTGGTGGGGCTTCCTCCTCGGCTGATGCTGTCAGCCTTGGGAGGCGCTGGTCGCTTTTGCCTTTTGGGGTCCGGAACGGCGACGCGAAAGGACTTGCCATCGCGGAACTGTCGCGGCTTGTCTGAGTCCTGCCCACAGGAGTTGCCCTATCCGGATTTCAACGAATCGCCCTCTGTGGTGTCCAAGTGCCGAGGAGAACCCAAGCGCTATATAAGCAGTCGGAAATTGGCCGAGACCGTGGCCCATATTCTGCAGCGGAGACGAAGAACTCAACAACTATTACTGGAGTGCAATCCAGGTGAGTCCACCTGGATTGCATTTTTTTGAAAGTTCATCACTTCTGCGAACTTTTGTTGATCATCCTTTGGGTGGTATTTAGGACACTGCTCTTTCCTTCAGGCAGCTTAATTGGAGAGTGTCTGCTTTGACAATGGCACCACAAAATATTTCTATAGCAATTTGCACTTTACACAATACTTTGATAAAATATGCTCTTAGACGGGCGGCGCCTGTTGCTCTGTGAGTAGGGCGCCGGCCCCCTATATCGAGGGTGGCGGGTTCAAACCCAGCCCCGGCCAAACTGCAACAAAAAAATAATCGGGCGTTAGCTTTCACCATATCATCAGAATAATTGCAAGCCCCACCATCCACAATATAAAATGTTATATCATTCCGTGCATCTCCTATAAACCATAGCAAGATGCTGACAACACAAGATTTTTAGACTGTCCGAATCCTAGTTTTTTTTTTTTTTTTTTTTTGACACCGTCTCACTGTGTCACCCTCGGTAGAGGCTGTGGCTTCACAGCTCACAGCAACCTCCATCACTTGGGCTTAAGCGATTCTCTTGCCTCAGCCTCCCGAGTAGCTGGGACTACAGGTGCCTGCCACAACGCCTGGCTATTTTTTGCTGCAGTTGTCATTGTTTAGCTGGCCTGGGCTGGGTTGGAACCCGCCATCCTCCGTGAATGTGGCTGGCGCCGTAACCACTGTGCTACGGGCGCCGAGCCTGAATCTTCATTTTTTTTTTTTTTTTTAAAGACAGAGTCTCACCTTGTTGCCCTTGGTGGAGTGCAGTGGCATCACAGCTCACAGCAACCTCCAGCCCTTGGGCTTAGGCGATTCTCTTGCCTCAGCCTCCCGAGTAGCTGGGATTACAGGCGCCCACCACAATGCCGGGCTAATTTTTTTTTTTTTTGAGACAGGAGCCTCAAGCTGTCCCCCCTGGGTAGAGTGCAATGGCATTTCAGCTCACAGCAACCTCCAACTCCTGGGCTCAAGCGAGTCTCCTGCCTCAGCCTCCCAAGTAGCTGGGACCACAGGTGCCCACCACAACACCCGGCTATTTTTTGGTTGCAGCCGTCATCGCTGTCTGGTGGGCCCAGGCTGGATCGAACCCACCACCTTGGGAGTACGTGGCTGGCGCCTTAGCCACTTGAGCCACAGGCACCAAGCCCTGAATCTTAATTTTTTAAAGCACTACAGTCAGTTTTCTTTACATTTGACAATATCTAATGGTTAAAGGATGGTTAAAGCATCCAGATTGTCCATAAGTGGTAGGCTCACAGTATTCCTTGTTGGATGTTTTTCTTCTAAGAGGTAGTGAAATACTGTGATTAAGACTTCAAGTTTTGCAACTGATAAAGTGGTTTTAAAGCCAAGCTACACTACTTCCCAGTTGTGATAATCAAGTCAAGTGCCTGTATGTATCTATTCCAGTTTCCTCACATATGAAAAGGAGAGTAACATGGACATACAAAATTAGGTAATCAACGTAAAGATACCTAATAAAAGTTTGACATGGAAAGAAATTACATTGTTTCTCTTACTGGCAAACTTTTTGTTCTGTTAATTTACTAGGTCCTGGAATCCTGACTCAGGCATTGCTTGAAACTGGTGCCACAGTGGTTGCCCTTGAAAGTGAAAGAACATTTATTCCACATTTGGAGGTATATTTTCAATTGCTAAAAGTGTATTATGATTCAGTCAGCTGAATTTCTGAATGTCGTAGGGGAGTGGAATAAAACACATTGTTTTTATAGAATATCTTTTAGGGGTCATGTCTTTTTTTTTGTTTGTGTGTTTTTTTGCAGTTTTTGGCGGGGGCCGAGTTTGAACCTGCCACCTCCGGTATATGGGGCTGTCGCCCTACTCCTTGAGCCACAGGTGCCACCCAAGGGGCCATGTCTTAAATATCTTTATTTATTTATTTATTTATTTATTTATTTTAAGAAATAGAGTCTTACTGTATCTCCCTTGGTAGAGTACCGTGGTGTCATAGCTCACAGCAACCTCCAACTCCTGGGCTTAGGTGATTCTCTTGTCTCAGCCTCCCAAGTAGCTAGGACTACAGGCGCCTGCCACAACGCCCCGCTGTTTTCTGTTGCAGTTTGGCCAGGGCTGGGTTTGAACCCACCACCAGTATATGGGGCTCGTGCCCTACTCACTGAGCCACAGGCGCTGCCCTTAAATATCTTTCTCATACTCAGTGACAGAAACCCAGTAAATATTCAATACTTGTTGAAAGACAGATTTGGAATTCTGACACTTGTTTTCTAGTTCTGTCTCTGCTACAGACGTTGAATAAGTGTGGAGTGTGTAACTAATGTTGTTACACTTGTTTCCTCATCTCTGCTAGGCTATGCTGTAAGCCTACCTTCTGTGAGTTTGGAATGAAACTGGAATGAGGGCTAAGATTAGGTTCAGGGGTGTCCAACCTTTTTTTTTGGCCATGCTTTGGAAGAATAAGACTTGTCTTGGGCCACACAATAAATACACAAACACTATGCCTGTAATCTTATCCAAGGCGGGTAGATTTCCAGAGTGAGACCCCCTCTCTACTAAATAAAAAATAGCCAGGCAAGTGCCTATAAATCCCAGCTACTCATGAGGCTGAGGCAAGAAGATCACTTAATTCCAAGAGTTAGAGGTTTTTGTGAGCTGTGATGCTATGGCATTCTATCCAGGATGGCAGAGTGAGGCTCTGTCCCCTCCCCCTGCAAAAAATACACAAACTAACAAAAGCAGATGAGCGAACGAAAAGGTCTGTGCATACTGTTCTCGATATTGGACACCACAGACAAGCAAAACAGTCCTCAGCTAATCTGCATGTAGGGCGCAAGTTGGACACCTCTGAAAGCCTGAATTTAGCTATGGGTATCAAACCTGTAAAATCATTTTAAACCTTATGAAATACTAACAGAATTTTCTATGCATGTACACAGTGTACACAGCACAAACATATTACTCTCTTCTGATTTTTTTTGTAAATGGAAATAAAGTTTATGAAGTCTGCAGCTCATTCTTGCCTTCACTACTGAGGTCTCTACTGGTACTAGCAGATGAGCAAATCAGCATTGTGAGAAGAACTAGGTATATTGGACTTCTTCCAGTGGACAAGTTCTGTGGTTGCCTCTGTCTTTAGAAAAAGTAAATGGAAAATTGAAGGGAAGATGGACAGGGATCTACACAATAAACTAAGTCCATTTGGCAGATAACTGACTAGATTACCCTCAGATAAAAGAGACACTCTCTTGGCCCTGTCTGCTTTTTTCACTTTAATATTATAATTGTTTTTTCTTTTTCTTTTTTCTCTTGGCTGGGGCTGGGTTTGAACCCGTCACCTCCAGCAGATGAGGCTGGCGCCTTACCCTTTTGAGCCACAGGTGCCACCCTGTAATTGTTTTTTCTATCATGAAACGTATTTCGTTTCTTCTTCTCCTGACCACTATGTAGCTCACTGCCAGGTGTGATATCCTTATCTTTGCCTGGGGCTCCGAGTACTCACTATTGAGTAATTAGAGATGGATATCAAGAAGCTTTTTGAACAGTTGAAGCTTTTATGAATAAAATAGAAGGATAAGGCCCAGGGCGGTGGCTCACGCCTATAATCCTAGCACTCACGGAGGCCAAGGCGAGTGGATTGCCTGAGCTCACAAGTTTGAGACCAGCCTGAGCCAGAGTGAGACCTCTTCTCTAAAAAAGTAGCTGGGCATTGTGGCGGACACCTTTAGTCCCAGTTACTTGGGAGACTGAGGCAAG